CTCAGCTCTGCTAGCAGCTCTCTGCCAGGAGCCCGGCTACCTCCCAGGCTCCCGACAGGCTGCCCCATTCTCTGCCAGGAGCCAGGGAAGCTGCCTGGGGCATCCTGCCTCCCCATTCCCCGCTGGGAGTGGGGGGGAAGACTCCCGGGGCTTCTTGGTCCTGGGGAATGGGGTCCAGCTGCCCCAGCTCCCGACTGGGAGCGGGAGCGTGGAAGGGTGCCCGGGCTTCCTGCCCCGGCTCCCAGCTGGGAGCGGGGTCCAGCCACCCAGCTCTCCAGGAGAGTGGGGGGCAGCTGGGCTCTAGCTGCCTAGCTTGCTTATCAGTTTCATGGCACCTGCTGTGAAATTGACAGGACAGCAAACAGCAGATGTAAGTAACGGAGTATCTACACAGATACTGCGTTGCCCTAACTACACCAACATAAGCCCTGCGCCTCTTGTGGAGGTGGAGTAGGGTGCTTACATCGGCAGAAGCAAGGCTGTAGTGTAGACTGACATAATTAAGTCGACATAAGCTACCTTATGTCAACCTAATTGTGTAATGTAGACCAATCTGAGTGAGTAAAGCACCCACGCACAGCTTGAAGCACAACCTGTTGTTAAAGTTGCAGAGTCATCTTTGTATGTCTAGTCAGTTTGAGGCAGTTGAAGAGCAGAATAGCCCAGATATAAGTGCACAGGAGCATGGCTACATGCCCTCCAAGACAGAAAGGCATGCAGATTCTGACATGACAATTTACCATGCAGTGCCAGACTTTGAAATCAAAGTACTGCTAATGTCTCTCTGCAGTGTACCCATAGGCAATTTTTGCTCTATTTATAAATAAATATTTCTTCAGAAAACAAGCCAAAGGCACCTTGCACTGCAAAGGAAAAAGACGCAACCCATAGAAATGGTTAACTGCAATATAGTTTCACTCTTTTAAAAAAATTGTCTCTTCAAAAAAGAAATACCTTTCTCTCCACCAGGCTTAATATTTACTGGTCTGGTTTCCTACATAGAGAGCCTGTTTAAAATCTAATATACATGTATGTGAAACTGTCTAGAATCTGTACAAGCACCTTCCCACCTGAGAATCTCTAAGTGCTTTGCAAATGTTAATTAAGCCTTGTTCTACTACTGTAACATAGGTATTTTCCTATTGTACAGATAGGGAAACTGAAGTACAGAGGTCACAGAGTCAGTGGCAGAACCAGCTGTAAAACCTCAGTTCAAAGGTAGCCAAGGCCTGGAACTAAATCCCTTTCTCAATATGGAAATAAACTTAAAGTGAAGCAACAACAAATAGTGTCCTTTTAAATATATAATAAGCTCTCTAACTATTTTAATTGCAACTTTTACATTTATTAAAGATTTGTAATGTGTTATTGAAGCCTTTTCATAGTGCCATTTAGATTGTTTTGGGGGGCACATAGCAAAAAGAGGTTTTATAGGTTGAATTTATGGATCTCTTCTTAATGGTTAGTTATGAGATAGTGAAAAGAGTGCTGGAGAAGGCAGTTTTGATTGACAAATAATACATGATTGAGTACGCGATTCTATATTTATTGTCCTGGTAGGTTCACACTTGTTTTTTAAATACATATTGGAATCTTGGGGAAATAGTAGCACAGCTTGTTCATGGTCTGTTTTTGTTCAGATTTTTTTCATTCACATACATAGGTTGTATCACAGCAAAATCATTCAATGTAACACTTAAATATTCAGCAGGAAGAAGAATGTGTTGAGTTAGAGGCATTTCTCTGGTGCGCATCATCAGAAATAGGATATGGCCAAAAAAATCATTGGTTGTTGCTTGTCAAAATGCTGTCCTGTATTGGACACTAGACACATCTTAATTGGGAGGCCCTAGATAATGAGTCTATCACCCTGATTTAGGAAGAAAGATCATTGTTTCAAGTCTGATAGCAGAAAATACTGTTTTGTTTAAAAATGAAAAATTTAAAGGGAAAAAAAAAGTTTTTTTCATTTTGTCATTGTTTCTTGTAATCTGTGATACCGTCTCTTTTAATACCAGAACTTAGAATTTCAAGCCTAATTAACCACCGCTTAACCCTTAGGCATTGGATGAATTTGTCCCCATTAAGCAAAACTTATTCTAATGCTGTCCCAGTTAAGCAGCAGTCATTGCCATGCACTATCATTAGGCTAAATTGGTTCCCTGAGACATCCCAGTAAAGTAAACATTGCTATTAAGTACATCTTAATTTAAGCAAAATAAAGAGTATTGTGAGCAGATTGCAAACTAAAGACTATAAATACACCAGCTGATAAAGTAGCATGAATTCCGAAATGCTACAGTATCCGAACAGGATACATCAAAATTTAACACTGAAATCTATGAAAACCCTCTTCCTTTTAAATTATGTTAAGAACTGTAACTTACGCCTTACACCCTCAAGTATCCACTAGATACACTGAAATGATAGGTAATAAATGTTGTTGTATGCATTGTTAAAATTGTGTTTGCTGTGTTTTTCTTCTTTGTCAGCACAAATCCTTGTTTATTAAAGATTTAGCTTGAAGGAAATTTTAATTAATTACAGGTTCAGTAAATCCTGACTAGGAATCTGCTGTGCTGTTTACAGTGAATGGCCTTCATGTGCCTATGTTTCACTCCTGTTCTCTCTGCTATCTGACAATGTGATTTATGGTTGTTGTTTTTCTACCAGTCCACTGTTTGCCCTCTAGGAGGGATTGGTCTCCTGAGCCTCCATAATAACAGCAGCACTTTCACAAAACATCTTTTAATGACAACAGTGTAGCATTCTGTAAGTCAGGCTAATTGCAGACATACCCTATTAATTGCAAAAACTAGGAGAGGTTACATATTTTACAAGCTTTTAATTTGAAATCGCCCGAGATGATTTGTCTTAAGTGTTTGGGTAGAGATGTCTACAATATTCTGCGATAGGCCATTACTGAGAATCTAGAACACACAGTTACAGAATACTAGGAATGAATCAGGTGAAGTTAAGTTGTGTGGGCGAATCTGCCTAGGAATACTACTGCTTCTGTAATACAGAATGTTATAAAAAAGAGTTCATGTTATGGGAATAAAGGAGCTAATTTCTACTTTTATTTTAACAATTGCGTATGTTACACTTATTTCGGTCGATAACATTCAAAGAGTAGAAAATCTAAGGTTGAACTGGAAGAGGTTGTGGGAGGGGGCATTATGTCATGTCTTCAGCTATATAGAGATCAGTTATAAATTTTTTTTTTTTTTTTTTTTTTTTTTTACAGAAAGTGATTGGTGGCTTATCAGATGTTCATCTGAGTCATTAGGGAGGAAAGCAGTGTGTTTTTAAAAAAAAAATCAAAAAATTCTGATTTTTAAAAATCACACCTTTGTTTATAAGCTAAAAATCTGCTAAATACATGATCGTTTTTGTTACGTACCAGTTCTGGCCATTGTTTGGCAAACATTTTCATGTTTTCTCCTTGGGAATTTAAAAGATCAGAATACACCCTGGCTGTCATCTTTTTTCTTTTCTGTTTTTGTGCTGGTGTCCAAATCTTGCTTCTATTAACATCATTGGGAAAACTCCCATTGATTTCACTATTGTAGGATTAAGTCCCAGGTCAGCCGTGAATGTGCACAGCTCTTGAAATAGTGTTGACTAGTTACTACAAACCAGTAAGAGAGCTCTGCATAAAAAGACACTCAGTTACGTGTTAAGATATAATTGGCCAAAAGCTGCCACAGATCTGTGGGTGTGTCACCCTGAATTTTCCAAGTCCTGGAGGGCTGAGGCTCACGTATGACTAATTTCTCTTGACTTCCTGAATGCAGATTAAATTGAGAGAAGGTTTAGAAGTTCCAGTTACCTGCTCGTAATTCTTTTCTCAAACTTTCCCCTTACCTTTTTTCTCGATTTTCTTATTTATTGTTAGTCTTCATTTGCCAGACTTTGATCTTCCAATATTTAAAACATCCAACAAAATGGTAATTAGTGGATTTCTTCTTTTTGTTATATTATTTTATTTATTTTGATGTTAATGCCCAAAAGCCACCTGAGACAGGAGGCCCTGTTTTGCTAGGAAGTATACAGACAAAGAATAATAGAGGAAGGAATGCCCAACAGATAGGGCACTAGCCTGTCACTCAAGAGACCTGAGTTCAGTTCCCTGCTCCACCACAGACTTCCTTGGGCAATCTATTAGTCTCCTTGTGCATTAGTTCTGCATCTGTAAAAAGGGGATGATAGCACTGCCCTACCTCACGGAGATGTTGAGAAGATAAATGCGCTAAAAGCATAGGTGCTCAGCTACTATAGTCTTGGAAGTTTATAGAAGTGGCCAAGAAAGGTAAGATCGACAGTCTCTGCCACAAAGACCTTACCATCTAAATAGACAAGACACATAGGGTAGGGGAAAGAGATGTTACAAGCAAGCAGAATGAAGAGTGTGATAGTTTGCAAATGTCATGTTAGTTTTATGGTTTTTTTCAAAATTCTTTGGGTGGGATTTAGCCAAATGGAAAGACTTTGTTGGCTGTAAAATATAAATCTTCATTAACTAATTTTTTCCTTTTTTTTTTTTTATTATTGCATCTTAGTTCCAATGCCAAAGTTAAGGTTGAGGAATAGAGAGGAGGGCTTGAGGAAATTAGTTATGCAGGCAAAATTTAACTTCAGTGGGTCCCAAACAGGTCTTGAATTTTAATGTAAGAGGTAATAGTGTTTCTTCTGAAAGGGCAGTGGACCAAATTCTGATCAATTACACATGCTAATGCTGAGTAATTCCATTTTAAGTCATTGGAATTACTTAAGATTTGCACCATTGTATCTAAACAGAATTTGTTCCTTCATATGTATTTGTTAGCTCTTTTGGGATGAGATAGTACTGTTCTCGGCCATAGTTATTTTATTTACAAAGAATACTTAGTTATTTCAGATGCTTTTTAACACAATCAGGATAACAAATACACAATTCAGTTGGTCTTAATTTGGCATCTTAATGCTAAATTATTGACAACAAATCATTCTGTTTACAGGTGAAACTAATTCGTGAAATTGCAGCATGCCATGGCATTCTAATTACTTCCTATTCATACATTCGATTGATGCAGGATAATATCAACAGCTATGACTGGCATTATGTGATTTTAGATGAGGGTCATAAAATCCGGAATCCAAATGCTGCAGTTACACTTGCATGCAAACAGGTACGGTACCAGAAAACAAACCAAATATCTTCATTTGTAATAGTTTTTTAAAATAATTTGAAAAAATAAGCTCAGAGTCTGATAGTAACCATGGATTGCTGAATCATAAAGTCATAGATTTAAATCTTAGCGAAGAATAAAGGCATATGTCATGAGGCTTTCTTTTAAAATCTTGCTTGGATACTTAATTTATTTGGCATTTTTAAAATTGTTTACAATGGTCACTAAAAATCAATAGTGTTATCATAATAGGATAAATTCAAAGTTTTGTTAGAATTTGCTGTAAATTAGTGCTAAATGTAGGTTTAAATCATATATATCCAAAACAGATTATGTTCATTTTATTTTGTGGAGTATTAATGCTAAGTCCTGTTTGAGCTATCAGTTTTGTAGACAGCATTTCACAAGAAGCTTATATTCATTTCAGAGAAAATATGCTATATATTTTAAAATGTGACAACTCATTGATGTGAAATTGGATAGCCTCTGCGGTAGGAATCTGTATTACAAGCCAACTCATGAAAATGTCTTACTACTAAGTTGTTTTGTTTTATATTAATAGTTCCGCACTCCCCATCGAATCATCTTATCTGGCTCCCCTATGCAGAATAACCTAAAGGAGCTCTGGTCCCTCTTTGACTTTGTATTCCCAGGGAAACTGGGAACACTGCCTGTCTTCATGGAGCAATTCTCTGTTCCAATAACCATGGGAGGATATTCCAATGCCTCTCCCGTGCAGGTAAAGATACAGCAAAATATTTTTACTAATTGATGGTCATTAATTTGAAGGAAATGGTTTGCTGTGTTGTTTCAGAACTCACTTAAAAATGTATATTATATTGGGTGTCTTATGCCCTGATCGAGTAAACACGTTTACATACATTTTATATACATATATAATATATATTTTTTTCACTGTCTGGGTTTCAAACATTAGCAAAATGCTGTAATATTTGAATTTCAGACACTGTAGAGAAATGTTTAAATCCATACTGAAAATGGTTTTCATTTAAAAACAATTAAATTATTCCCATCCTATTAATAGCACATTTTGTGAAAGTATTTTAAACTAAATCTAATTTTGGAGCATAAACTGCCTAGGATTATTCTTTTAAACATGAGTATATCTGTTAATCTTTGCAGTTGTTGCAGTTATGGCAAGTATTTTATTTAGCTGACTTTTAAACATTTACCTGCATTTGCATTTATTAAATTAGTTATTAGATGGTTTGTAAAGTTATCTGAAGATTAAAAGTTCTATAGAAATGCTTAGAATATAAATTATTTCTACTATAACATTTCTGGTAATGTTTTATGCACACATTTTTCTATAATTTTATCTTCATTCTGAGTTTAAGTGCTTCCCTTGTCTGAGGCTTGGTAATTTACTAAATTGAATGGCCAGTTTGATTTTTATGTATCAATAATTTATTATATTCTTTGTTTTGCTTTAAGAGAATTGAGGGTATTTTTAGCTATTATGTACAGTTAATACCCATCTCACACATCCATTACCCATTACAGAACCATATGCTCCATTTAAGGCCAGAATGACCTTTAGTTTCTGTGATCATAGGGATTTTCTTATACCGATTTTTTTTTTAATAGTCTCAAGTGGGCACTAATCTTCACTTATTGTCTGCTACCCACCATTGCTTCAGGCTTCGTTTTGATCTTCAGTCTGTAGATGAGCAGTTCTGTGTGTGGCTTTTGGTTTATGCAAGATTACACACACGGATTCATTGATAAAAGGGACTTGCCTAGGGGGAAGTGTGTCTTACTAGCCAATACATCTATAATTTCTGGTCTCCTTTCAGTGGAATAAATTTCACCAAATTAAGCCAAAATAAATGAATGGTATCTGATATGAGTCTATTTATTAAATATTATTGTTGGCTAACATGAATTCATTACAAATCGCATTATATTGGATACTAAAAAAAATTACTGTAACTTCATATATCCATTAAAGGGTAGAAAATTTAAATAATGTGTCTGCTTGTGCCATCTAGTTTTTGTTTTACTTTTTCCTACTCCTAGTTAATGAATCTCATTTAAATAAAAACAAAAAAACCTCTACATTAAGAACTCCATTAAATGCTGTGTTTTTTTCCCTTTTAAAGGTAAAAACTGCCTACAAGTGTGCATGTGTTTTACGGGACACCATAAATCCCTACTTGCTGCGGAGAATGAAGGCTGATGTGAAAATGAGCCTGTCACTGCCAGATAAAAATGAACAGGTTTGTTTAAAATATATATAGTGTTTGATCCTTTGCCTCCTGAAGTCCACAGCAAAACTTCAGTTGATTTTGTTGAGAGCAAGTGTGGAAAAAGAGCATAGAGAAGTTAAAGCTACACATTCTAACTTCTCAGTAGTGGCATAAGGCTAATGAGCTGGGGAAGCCAAAGTGTGTCTAGCAGCTTGAATATCAACGGAGATATTTTATTTTGTAGGTATTTATAAATCACCTGATTACCATATCATCTGGGCACAAAAGTCTGATGGAATTCTGTAATGTGGAAAGTATCTGTTTTCATCTTAAATAAGGAATTGTAGCCCCACAAATCCTACAGTTTACAGCCTCCTCTGTGATCCAGCATGCAATGCTTCATCTTGACTTTGTAGTCTCCGCACAGCTATGCATCCATGTTAAAGCAAAGGGCATGTAAGGTGCATTCTAGTCTATTTTATGCAAATTGGTTTCAGCCCTTGGGCTCCTGGAGAGTGATCAGTGCAGCCCTCAAATGGCCAGACTTTTGCATCCTAAGAACAGTGCCTGTAGGGTACCTCTTGTGGTATGTTCATTATCAGAGTTATCATAAAAAATGTTGTTCCTGCTGTTATGAGGTTCATTTGGCCAACAAATTATTACAGGGAAATATGTAGTGTGACAGTAGTAGTTCAGGTTGCAAACTTGCTTCCGTTCTGACCCCCTGTTTGTACATGCTAATAACCTTCCAAAATCTTCCCTTTTGGGACTGAAATTTTCCATGCTTGTTCTGTGCCTGAAGGTGAATGTTTTTGGAAAGGTCTTGAGCTAAATTCCTTCAGCCATTCTTGAGTTAATGAAAGGGTTGTGTTTTTTTAACAAAAGAAATAGACATCTGTGACTCCCAGGAGCCACTGTTTCTAGTGTGGGTTAGGGTTTACCTCCTCCCTGCATCAGGCTTTGTTTCTCTACCGCACCCCTTTTTCTTCCTTCTCCCCTTCTTGCTCCCCTCACAACTGCTCCTTGATATGCTTCTCCCTTTAATTTCTACCACCTTTAGGCATCTAAGACAAGTAGTCATACTAGTGATTCCACATTGGGACAGTGTCATGGGGTGGGCTGTGAGTTAACAGGGGAGATCGTTGTGTCTGCTGTGAAGTCTCATGCTCTCTGTTCAGTCAAACTCTGGAACATGGTTTCAGTACACTTTAAAGAATGTAGGCTGCTTCCCCCTAAAGAACACATTCCAAAGTGAATTAAAATCATTTGATTTTTCTTGTCAGTCACAGAGCTGTACATGAGTTTGACTTACAGCATAATGTTTGTTGCCTTGCAGGATGTGAGTGAGTGATTTTGTTCCATTTTAGCCCATCAGACAATGTGAAAAATCATTATATGGTCACGTTCAAAGATTAATGACAGAACAGATTACATATGCTAACCTATTGTTTACCCATGAGGTCATAAGGGGATTGCAGGTTTTAAGGGACATAACAGATACACTGTACAAAGTGCTTCCAATACTTAGTATTCTATACATTCCACTTTAAAAAGCCCTTGCATTAAGGGAGTGTTAAGATTGCACAGTTACCAATGAAGTCAGGAAATCGGAAAGTGAAGCTTGCATAAATAAATGCAGTTGAAGAAAATTATGAACAACTGAGAAGGGCACAGAATGGATGCTGAAACTCGTCCCTAACTATAGCATTTGCCCCCTACAGATACTGTACCTTTTTCTAAATGTTTTAACTTCTGATGGGCTCTTATTCTTAATTTTGCACTTTTGATGGATCGAGAGTTCCTCAGTGAAGCTTTATTCTCTTTTGTTCGTTGCACATTTCATATCTCATGAAGCTGAACGGTAACTGGATAAGTGCACAATATTATTATTTTATTTTTTTAGGTTCTGTTTTGCCGTTTGACAGATGAACAACGGCAAGTCTACCAAAACTTCATTGACTCCAAAGAAGTTTACCAGATTCTCAGTGGAGAAATGCAGGTTGGCATTAATTAAGGTAGATGATGACATGTAAGAGTTTAAAGGTAGCCATCTGGATAAAGGTGCTGACTGCCCTATGGCATTTTTCTAGCTGGACTCTGAGCAGGATCTTAGAGGGGAAACAAAAGTACCTTTATACCCAAGATGTCCCAGAGCCCTTTACATAGTAATGAATTAGAGGCTAGTAGTAGAGTGACTGAGGAAGACATTATGTGTTGAACAATAGCATGCACACACAACTGGATATTAGAACCAGTTTTGCTGAACGAGGGAATGCTGGCCAAGGAAGTAGGTAACCATTTCTAAAAATCACTAAGATCTTCATCTTCCACCCAAATACAAATCATAGGTAAAAGGACTTCTTAACTTTGCAGCTTTTGCCTTAGTACGTGCCCTGAAGTGTAAACAACCTAAATCCTGGTGTTGGCTTTCAACTTATGACCCTCTGTTCTAGAAGTGAAAATGCTGCCTATAATGCATAGTGGTATCCACAGAAGGAATGTAGCCTATAGATTATACTTCAGACATTGAAAAAATTATGAATGATGATGAATATCCACTATGAATGGCAATGAATTGTTATTGGGCCAGAGAATGAGAGTGAGTGTCACTCTCTCTACAGTCTGGGAGTTTGTGCACTTACCTAGGATGTGGGAGATCCAGGCTCAAATTCTTGTAGTAAGACTTTAATTATTTTATCAAAAGTAAAACTGTTTAAGAGGAGAGATTGAAAACCCCACATAAGAATATCCCATTGCCCAGTGGCTAGGGCACTCTCCTCTATTGGGGGAGATCCAAGTCCAAATCCCTTCTCTACATCTGGCAGATGGCAGAATTGAACCCACATGTCCGACATCCCAGGTGAATGCATTAACCATATGTAGAGCTTCTGGTTTGGGGGATTTATTAATTTCATTTTTCCAGGTTTATTTTTAACAATTTTTCAGTTCTCTGTAGATGTCCAAAAATTGGGGGGGGTTGGCTCTTCCTCTTTGTTTATACAGTAATAATTAATTTCTACACAGTAGCACTCTTTAGAAATTACATGCGCACACACACACCCATAGTCTGCCTTACTGCTCAGTATAGACAAGTCAGTAGGTACAATTAACCAGTCCCGGTGGTTTTTCCGGTCTTTTATTTTTGTTTGTTTGTAGCAGGGGTGTTTTATCAGTTAAAACAAAAAATCAGAAGTCCTATTTATAAGGGGACACCACTACCTCTGCCTCTTCTGGCCATTTTGTAAGTCCTTTAATTCCTATTGTGAAAATGCCTGAAACTGTAGATGAAATTTTTTAGGTAGAAACAAAAGGTTTTGTTTTGATATTACTGAAACATCTAGACTTCTTTAGCTTGATTGGAAGTATTTGAAAAATGTGATACAAATTCACGAATAGTTTCAACCTGAAACTGAATTTTTCTGCAAATAAACTATTTAATCTGAAAAATTTCTCCCAGGAACCATGTGTTCCTTCTGAAGTATTGCCTTATTTTGGAGGGATGCTAGTGAGGGCAGCTATTTCAAATTGCAGCTTTTGTTATACTGAGTAGTAGGTAGAAGAATGTGTATAACGGAAGTATTCGTAAGTGGGTTTTTACCTGCATCGTATCTTAATATTTACCTAGAAGTTGTCCTTTACTATCTAAATGTTTGCACATTGATGTAGTGTTTAACACTTCATTGGGCCTTTAACAGATTGGTTTGGTGCTCTGACTCACTCAATTCTACAATGCTGGGGCAGTTGCTTTTGCAACTACAGTTTTCTCAGTGGGGAGAGAAGGGATTATACTTATGGTATTTAAAATGTCTAATGAATAATAGAAAAGAATCCATCTAATGCAGTGATGTAAGCAGTGGTCATTATCAGCATCCTACACATGTTCTGTTGAAACATGTTGAGACAACCCACTCTTAAGTAAGTGTGGATTCTAGAGGTTGTACTTGCCAACATGGGAAACTTTCTTTTCATCTTCAAATTCTCTCCCAGCATTTGTGCATTTTTGTCTCGAATAGATTTTCATCATCTTGTCTGTCACAATTTTCCTATTTTCAGAAGAAAAAAAGAAAATTGTGAGAGTCTTTTTTACTGAAAATATAGCATCACTTATGAATTTGCACCACTTTTGGGGGAGAGAAATTCATTTTATGAATAAAGAAAAATGAACCAATTCAATAATACGTTTAACTTTTTTCCCTGGGTTCTTTATTATTTTTATTTTTATTTTTTCCATCTTGGCTCAGTTAGTGCAAACAAATCAGTTAGGACCCAACCTATGCACAGAAACAATTTGTACTTGCTTTATAAGTCCAGCTGCATATATAGCAGCCTTTAGCAGGTGATATATTTTGAATATCTTTACTGGAAGACCATGTAATGTGCAGCTGGATGGAACTTCTTGGCTTTTGAAGTGCTAGAAAAACTATGACTAATATGGATTACATGAATGCAGAAACTGTTTTAGAATTTTTGTAACATCACCAAAATGGGTTCTCATATAACACAGTATTTCATTGGCAACTGTATAATACCTTTTACTGAAATGGGAACAAAAGTGTTCTGGGATAAAAACCAGAGCACCAGTATTCACCTGCTCAGTGACTATCAGTTTGGTCCATTATTGTCTCTTCTTAAATGTAACCTATGGTAGAATGAAAAATTTGCAAGAAAAAGACATTTCTCTCCTGTATTCTGTAGGTTTTCTCTGGACTTGTAGCCTTGAGAAAAATATGCAACCACCCTGACCTCTTTTCTGGTGGTCCCAAGATTTTGAAAGGTGTGCCAGATGATGAGTTAGAAGAAGCAGATCAGTTTGGATACTGGAAACGTTCTGGAAAAATGATAGTGGTAGAGTCCTTACTGAAAATATGGCACAAGCAGGGTCACAGGGTGCTGCTATTTACCCAGTCGAGACAGGTAAGAACATCTAACAAACGTATTACAGTTATGCAGTAACTGCAGTAAAAAAAAAAAAAAAACACCTCCACCAGATTAGGTGTGTGTGTGGGTGTGATCTAAAAAGACCTATAACTAGAAGCTAGGATATTTTGTGGATTCCTCAAAAAAACAAAATTCCAATTATCCTGAAAAGTGTCAAAGTGGGAAATTTCTTTGATTCTTAGACGTAGAATAACTGGAGGGTAGACTTCTATACACTTCAGTTCCATAAACTTTATTAGCATGATAGTATATACCAAGTATTGCCCAAGTAAAATATGTGGAGCCAAATATTGCTGTCACTTACGTGAGTTTAAATGAAAACAAGTCCTTTTGAAACCACTGGTGTAACTAGGAGTGGAGTTTGGCACAGGTAGTACAGTACAAATAACTGTCTATAATAGGGCTTCACATGCCCTGTGCCATGAGTCTTTTTCTGATTCAGTGATAGTTGGTTACACATCATTAGGTATTCCTGCCATGTCTTTAATTCTCTCAGAATTGTACTGAGTTTTTTGCTGTTCAAGGGGAGTTCTTACAATTTGGAAGTTTGAAGTAATATCTTTCTTGCACTTCATATTTTGGTCGGAGGAGTAAATGCAAATTGCAGCTTCCATTTTGCCTATCACTTCTTTTATAAAGTTGTTCCTTGGCTCGACACTATATATTTTTTTAATGAGATCACAAGTTTGATTGATAAAAGTAATAGTGTTGACATAATATACTTAGACTTCTGTAAGGCGTTTGACTTGGTACCACATGACATTTTGATAAATTGCTAGAACTATATAAAATTACCATGGAACACATAAAATGGATTAAAAACTGACTAACTGATAGGTGTCAAAATGTAAGTATAAATGAGGAATTATCATTGAACAGTGTGTTTCCAGTGGAGTCCTCTAGGCATTGGTTTTTGGACCTATGCTATTTAACTTTTTTTTTTTTTTTTTTTTTTTTTTTTTTTTTTTTTTTTTATTTTTTTTTTTTATTTTTTATTTTTTTTTTTTTTCAATGACCAGGAAGAAAACATAAAATCATCACTGATAAAGTTTGTAGCTGACCAAAAAAAAAAAAATTGGGGGAGTGGTAAATAATGAAGAGGACAGGTCACTGATTCAGAGCAATCTAGATCACTTGATAAACTGGCTGCAAGCAAACAGCGTTCATTTAAATACAGCTAAAAGTAAATGTAGACATCTAGGAATAAAGAATGTAGGGCATACTCTATCCTGGGAAGTAGTGACTCTGAAAAAGATTTGGAGGTCATGGTGGATAATCAGCTGAACATGAGCTCCTAGTGTGACTCTGGCCAAAAGAGTTAGTGCAATCCTGAGATGTATAAATAGGAATCTCAGGTATGAGTAGAGAGGTTTTTTAACCTCTGTATTGTGCTGCTGGAATACCGTCTCCTGTTTTGGGTCCAGAATTCAAGAAGGATATTGATAAGTTGGAGATGGTTCAGAGAAGAGCCAAGAGAATAATTAAAGGATTAGGAAACATGTCTTATAGCAGTAGACTCAGAGCTCAATCTATTTAGCTTAACAAAGAGTTTATGGGGTGACTTGATTATATTCTATAATTGGGGAACAAATATTTAATAATGGGCTCTTCAATCTATTAGAGAAAGGTATAACGTGGACCAATGGCTGGAAGTTGAAGTTAGACAAATTCAGACTGGAAATAAGGCATACATTTATAACAGTGAGAGTAATTAACCATTGGCAAAATTTACCACTGGTCATGGTGGATTCTCCATCACTGATCATTTTAAAATCAAGATCAGATGTTTTTCTAAAAGAGCTGCTGTAGGTATTATTTTGGAGAAGTTCTGTGGTCAGGCCAGAAGTCAGAGGGGTCAGGAGGTCATACTAGATTATCTTAATGGTCCCTTCTGGCTTTGGAATCTATGAATCCCGAGTAACAAAGAATGGTATAAATTACCTTGTATAGATGCATGAGTGTTTTTCTGATTTTTCTTGTCCTGTTCTCCTTACTGAATGTTCCAAAGGCAAAGGCTAGTGTCCTGCTTCTTTTTTGGGTGATGTGATGTTAGCATCTCTCCCTCCTGTGTCTCTGTTAGTGTATCCATTTTAGATCTACAGTGTTGTAGAAATGAAAACATAGTTTAAAATAAAAAAATCTCTAGCCTTAACTTTGGATGGTAATGAATGCTGTGGTCTCTACTATTCTTGTACTTTCCAAAAACTGGGTTCCTTAAGAGGAAGGAGTAATGTTTGAATTGTAAAGGGTATTAAAGCATGTGCAGCATGGCTGTTTTCTGTGGCACGTTTGTAAATCTTCAGCTGTGTACAGTATACGTCACTACCTTCTTAGGGGCAGAGGGAATAAAAGAGGTCCATCCAGATGACCAACAGTTTGTCCAAGCAAGATGGGAAGTTGAGCCTCATCAGCATCTCCTCTCCTGGGCCAAAAAAGTCACTTGGAAGCCTCTCCATGTGATATGGCCGGTTAGGGGAGAACCATTCTCTGGCATGCTCCCCCTGCAGAGTAGCAGAAATAGGCTGAAATGTTTAATGCTGACAATTCGGCATTGATGTTTTCTGTCCTCCATTACATGGCTGCCTGGCAGCTTTGGTAGCCTATGTGGAGTGTCTGCTGTAGGCACTTGTACAGGCAGAGCCCATAAAACTGTTCCATCCCACAAGTTCAAAGTGTATACGTGGCTTTCCCTTCTTCCTTGTTCCAGAAATGCATGACCTCACCTTGCCTCTGCGGGTTCCCTGGAGTGTTCCACTCCCTCCCTGGTAATTGGTCTTTTGAGGCCATGCCCCTTACTGCATTCTGTCAGGGCAAACACCCTCCTTCCCAACAAGAGGATACGTCACATATGTTTCACAGCTTCGTATACACCTCTACCTCGATATAACGCTGTCCTCGGGAGCCAAAAAATCTTACCGTGTTATATTGAACTTGCTTTGATCCACCAGAGTGTGCAGCCCCGCCTCCCTGGAGCACTGCTTTGCCGTGTTATATCCAAATTTGTGTTCTATCGGGTGGCGTTATATCGAGGTAGCGGTGTAATTCGTGAATTTTCTGTTCTTTAGCCTTCATAAGTCCCCCCCATTCCCACCCAGGAGAGCATGATCTATCCCTTCAGTTGCAATTGCTGTTAATACCAGAAATAGTTTTGACTTGATCAGATAGTCAGTTAATCTTCATACCTGGATTTCATTCAAATCCTTTCCATCACAATAGATGCTGAAGATCCTTGAAGTATTTCTGAGAGACAGAAACTATTCCTACCTCAAGATGGATGGTACCACGACAATTGCATCCAGACAGCCACTTATAACAAGATACAATGAGGTGAGAAATTGCAACCTGTCCATAAATCCGTATTGATAATTGATGCCTGAGTTCAGTTCAGAGTAGACTACGTTGGGCATTCACTCTGGTCAGTCTGGTCTAAGGAAGCAAGCTTTTGGCATTTGAGTTGATTCAGAACTGCTTATCTTAGTGTGAAGGGAAAGCAATCACCATTTTTCTCAAACTGAAGTTTGGTTCTCTGTTAAAACAAAGCCCAAGACTGAACAAGAAAGAGAACGTCATTGTAAAAGAACAAATCAAGTTTAGACGGTTTAAAGTGTGATTATGGTCAGAAAAGTGAGTGAGCAAGCAAGGCAATGCACTCCAAGTATCTACTCCCCCTACATCTTTGTCATATCTGCTGACTTACCTGACAAAATCAAGCTTTAACACTTGTTAGCATAGCAAAGCCAATACACCCATGGAAAATCAAGCTAGATTCTTTTCTGCGTTGCCAACAGAAGGGGTAGCTATGGTCTAATTATAGAATCGCTGTTACTTGGGATGAAGAGGCAGAGAGATCCCAGGAGTTTGTAACACCAACATATGTCATTCTCCACTGAGGCAACCACTGCCATTATTAAGATGTCAGAATGCCTGCAAGAGATCAGCTCCTGGATGAAGAGCAGCTGGCTCAAACTCAACCCAGGCAATACTGAAGTGATACTGGTTGGAAGGGGGAAATGTTTCAAAGAACTAACTGTAACACTGTTTCTCCACTTTCTACTGAAGGTGTATAGCCCCTATTTGTCAAAGTGAGACGAAGCTTCTGCATCTACATTGACTCCTCACCTAAGTTCCCTGTAAGCTGCATGGCTGTGCAGCAGCCTATTTAACACCGCTCAGGCGCTCAGGGAACCCACCCCGGGACCTACCAGGGGAGGGGCACCCGGCCCCAGCCTAGCCCAGCCCCCAACCTGCCACAGCCGGGACAGCCTCCCCGGCCCCAACTATGCCACAGCCCAAACCTGCCGGGGCATCCCTACTCCAGCCTGAACCCAGCCACGGCTGGGGCAGCGTGGCCCAGCCAGAACCCAGCCGCGGCCAGGGCAGTGCGGTGCAAACCCAGGCAGCCCGGCCCGGGCCCAGCCCCAGCCCAGACCTTTCGTGGCTGGGACGCCCCTCCCTGAACCTAGCCCCGGCCGGACCTGCAGGAGCCAGGGGAGGGCGCCTATCCTGCGGCCCCAGCCCCGGAGCTGCCATTGCAGGGAGAGGCACCTCTCCCCCACAACAGCCCGGGTGCTGCTGTGGGGAGAGAGGGCTGGGGGGAGTCCTCTCTCCCCGCTGTAGCCCCAGAGCACCCTCCTACACCCCAAACCCCTCATCCCTGGCCCCACCCCAGAGCCTGCACCACCAGCTGGAACTCTCTCACCCCTGCACCCCAACCCTCTGCCCCAGCCCTGAGCCCCTCATCCCTGGCCCCACCCCAGAGACCGCACCCCCAGCCGGAGCCCTCATACCCCTGCACCCCAACCCTCTGCCCCAGCCCTGAGCCCCCTCCCAAACTCCGAACCCCTCGTCCCCACCCACCACATGAATTTTATGTGCACCGATATGAAGGTGATGTGTCACATATCACTTCCATGTTGGTGCACGTAACAAAATTCATTCCGCACATGGGAGGGAAAAATTAGAACACTGCTCCTCACTAAGGGTATGTCTACACTTTGAGCTTGGGGGTGTGATTCCCAGCTCGAGGAGACATACTCACGCTGGCTCAATTAGAGCTAGCATGCTAAAAATAGAATATAGCCATAGCAGCACAAGCAGCCGAAGGAGGCAGCCGCTTCAGGTATGTATCTAGTGACCAATGGGCATGTACTCAGTCCAAGTGTGATCATCATTAGTAAACATTGCAAAATCTTCCTTTCCTTAAAAAGTCCACCATAGCAAGAATGGCACTTGTAGCACAGATACCCCCTTCCAGCTGCCCTTCCCCCTGCAAAAAATTAATTAAAAGGCCTGAAACAAACCAACCGACAATAAAGCCAACTGGAGGTTGAGATTTTTAACCTTAAAATTGGAAAAGTCCACTAAGGGCTTCAATATTGCCCATCCATTTTACATGGAAGGTGCTCAGATGCAATGGTGATGAGTGATATTATAACACCCTAAGACAGATAGGTAACCATTTGAAAAAATAATAATTTAACTTGTAAACTGGATCCAGAAGTCCTGGAGAGGAAATATTTTCTGCTTCCATAGCACCTTTAATTTAGGAACATAGGAATTGCCAGACTGGATCAGCTCCATGAGCAATCTAACAGGGACCAGCACCAGCCGCTTCAGAGGAAGGTGCAATAAACCCTGTGGTGGGCAATTATAGAATAACTTGTCTGTTGTGATTGGATTCTGGGTCTCTGGATTATTAATGGTGGTCTTCACTTCTATAGTACATGTTGAAACTAAATTAACCCCCTTTTCTTTACATAAAAAAGTGCATAATACATCCAAAAAAATAACGTGACAAGAGCATCACTACTTCAGACATTCTAGCTTGGGGTGTTTGCTAAATCCTATCTTGTGTTGCTTGTATTACAGGATACGTCCATCTTTGTTTTTCTTCTTACAACTCGAGTAGGTGGTATTGGCGTCAACCTGACAGGTGCTGACAGAGTTATCATCTATGATCCTGATTGGAATCCCAGTACAGACACACAGGTATTTTTGGCTCAGAATGTATCATTTAACAGCTAAGTTGAAAATAAAAATGAGGATTGAAAGAGGTAATCTAAATTATTTTAAATAACTAGTGAGAGATCAGTGTTATGCTGCTTCTATTTCAGCATTGCAGGTGTTTGAAAGATTTCAGTGTTCTTTTCTGTAGCTTTCACAATCTCGCATGGCAGGGGAACTGCTATGTCCCTTTTTTCCCCTTAAATATAAACTGCAGTACCTAACCAGAACACCTTAGAAATTTATTTAATAAGCAGAATGAATGAAAGATAAATGTTCAGAACAGCACCGACTGCTATCTGAATCTCTCTCTAGCTGGGAATGGTCTCTCAGTGGAAGTTGCCATTATGCCATGTACATCTGAGGACGTTCTCTTATCTAATGATATGCATGTAGGACTTCGGGAATTCTGGTCCCATTTCAATGCATGAAGCTGCAGGGACTTTAACATTGTTTTAAAAGGTAAATTCTACTTTTTATTAATCTGAACATGGTTTTTGGCCAAATATTAAGGTAGCCTACACATCCAAAACTACCATATATACTCTATCATAAGCCGGTTCGTTTATAAGCAAAACCCCGCAAGATGGATAAGTAAAAATGGAAAAAATTTTATGACCCGTTCATAAGCCAACCCTATAATTCAGTGGTCAGCAAACTTTGGCTCACGGGCCATCAGGATAAGCCGCTGGCAGGCCAAGATGGTTTGTTTACCTCGCGTCCGCAGGCACGGAGGTAAACCTAAGTAAACAAAGTGTCCCGGCATGCCAGCTGCTTACCCTGACGGGCTGGGACAGCAACTGGTGAGGAAATTTGCGGGGAGAAGGGGAGAAGCTGGGGGTCAGGGGAGTAACCCCCTGTGACCACCCCCCACCTGACCCCACCCCTAGCCCGGGACCCCCACACTCTCCCCATCCCATCCCTTCCCACCTTATCTGGGGAGGGCCAGGGGAGGATGTCTCTGGCCTGGGTGGAGCTGCTCCGGCAGGCTGGGCAGCGCGGCCGCAGCCTGCTCCAGCGGGCCAGATCCGGGCAGCACGGCCGCAGCCTGCTCCGGCGGGCCAGACCCGGGCAGCACGGCCACAGCATGTTCCAGCGGGCTGGGCCGGGCAGCACAGCTGCAGCGTGCTGTGGCCGGGCGGGTGGGGGGCGCGGCCACAGCCTGCTCTGGGGGACGGGGCGGAGCGGCACGGCTACAGCCTGCCAGCCCTGGAGCTGGAGCTGCTTTGGAGGCTGGGGGAAGAGCAGCATGGCCAGAAGCGGAGACACTCTGGCTCTGCCTCTTCCCTTCTGGCTCTGCTGGCTGTGCTGCCTCTGTTGGGGGGAGGGGCTGTGTCCCACCTCTCCCTCTCTATACCCGTTCATAAGCCGACCCCCTTCTCTGGTGCTTCCCTTTTTTACTAAAAAAATTTGGCTTATGAACGAGTATATACGGTACTTTGAAATTCCTCTGCTTTCTCATGTGTTCTGATGGGGGCTGCATTCCCTAAATTCATCATTTAAAAACATCCATGTCAGCATGGTAGTTTCCTATTTGATTGTAAATTAAGCCATGTAAAGCCATTAGATGTTGAGATTATATTTTATACACTGCAACTTTCTTTCTGAAAGAGTTGGGCTTTGTGTAAAATAGCCACACTTCTAAATAAAATTACTCTGCAGTACTTTTGTTCTCACAATGCATGTTCATATGGTGTGGGGGAAATCCATTCAGTCTCTCTGTGGATATCTTTAAATGCAAGTTAGGGACTTACCCCTCTGAAAAAGGGGAAAAAATGTAGCTTCACTAGACCATCAGCACAGCCCTATGAAACTCCCTTCACAGACGGTCTGGGTGACCTGAGTTGTTCTGTATAGGGTATATTTTGTAAGACCTTCAAGTTTCAAGGTAAATTGTGGAGGAGGAAAAAACTGTTGGGATGCACATGTATAAACAACAATTGATTTCTGAAATGGATCTTTCTTGGGGATAAGTTTATCCATGGGAAAACATGGTTAGATCACATGCTGGTTCCTTTCTTGTTGAAATTTTACATAGATTTGTAGATATGGTTACTAGAGTCTTATCTTTCTAGGAAGCTGGCCCATATGGAATTGTTTTCATTTCCTATCAGTGTAGAAATGTGATCATTATAATCCCTTGAACTATTTGTTAAATTTTCAAAGTAGATTTAAAATACATAGTAGTATCAATAGCTCCCTGTGAATACAACCCTTTGCTTCCAGAGGGTGGGTCTGCTAAACACATCTTTATGCTCTAGGCTCGAGAGCGTGCTTGGAGAATAGGCCAGAAGAAACAGGTGACTGTTTACAGGCTCCTTACTGCAGGTACTATTGAAGAGAAGATTTACCACAGGTCAGTAGGACCAATATTCATTGATAACTGAACTGTGCTGGAGGAGGAACGGTTGGAGTGACTTGTCCTATCCTGCAAAAATGTAATCATGACTGCAACTTTACTCAAATGAGTAGCAATAATAGTAGTAATAATAATACCTATCTCTTCCAGAGTGTTTTTATCTGTAGATCTCATAGCAATTTAAAGGAGGTCGGTATGATTATCTTTACTTTATAGATAGAGAAACTGAGGAACAGAGGTGAATGACTTCCCCCAAGGTCACCCAGTAGGCCAATGGCAGAGCAAATAATAGAACACAGGAGTCCTGAGTCCTAATCCAGGACACATTGCGCTGGGCCACGCCTACGCAATTAATTTCTATGGGATTATCCATGTAAGCAAAATTAAGCACATGCTTAAATCATTCTTCATTTTCGCCCCTTATAGCAATCCCCTTGTATATTTAGTAAATCATAACGAGTTACACCATTTAGTATTCTAAATAGGACTCTGCAAGTATTTTCTTATTCTAAACAAGGAGAATGCTGTAGAAAAATTGAAATGGACCTTAAGCATAAGTAAATAACCCACTGCTATTAAAAATAATCTCTTAACAGAACTATTCCCTATGTTTATTCAGTCAGATCAGATTACTTTCATTACAAAAGGAAGGCTACTGCTTTTTTTATTTCTCTTAGCCGTGCATAGCCATTGCAGCCATAAACAAGTGAGCTGGAGTCTGCTAATTCTGATGCATTGTCAACAGAGTTGTGTACTGACACTGAGGTAGTTGAATGAGTACAAGTTTACAGAATGCAGTGGTACACCACACAGCTGTCAGCATAGAACCAATTTCAATGTTATAAAATAAATGCGTTTTAAATTATTTTCTTTTCCATTACCTGCCAAAACCTGATATTTACCTGGGAGTGCTATTGCAGGCATATAGTCTGAAATCAATAAGATTTCTAGTATTATGCGTGATATGTGATACATAGTATAAAAAACAGAATAGCCACTCACCAGACTTTATAGTTTTGCTTCTATCCCCAAATTATTAATTTTACAAATATCAAAATGAATAAGTCCCCATGAAGAACTGGTTAATATTCAGATGTATGTTTAAAATGCATACAAACCCCTTAAAACGTATACACTTCTAAATCAAGACTACTTTTTAGTTTGCTTCACCATTCAGTTATTGTAATCACTCCATTAATGTGAACTCCAAATGAATGTACTTAGGTACTTCGACGTCATTTGGATGTACATTTCTCTTCACAATGGGAACATCCTCTTTCAAAAGGCAGATAAATGAAAAGCTCTAAATAATCCAATACCGCACTTATGGAGAGCATTTGCTATTTGCTTCACCACACAGACACAAGGCTTCCGCTGCTAGTTGGCTCGCTTCCCGCTGACAAACATTGGTTCAGTTTGACTAACCCTGACCACACAAAGGAAGTGGGGTCTGATCTAAGGGTTAGAACAGCCATCAGAAATTCAGTTCTTTTCAGAGAGCTGTGATGGACTCACTCTGAGCCTTGAGCAAGCAACTTTATTTCTCTTTGCCTCAGTTTCCCCATCTGTGAAATGGCAGTAATACTGACCAATCTCATGGGGGTTTTTGACGCTTAATCGATTATTGTAAATGCCTTTGAAATCCTCTGCTAGATAAGAATTATAATTATTATTACATTATGCTATAGTTCAAAACCATGTTAATGTGACCTGTCTTTGAACACAGATTTTGCTAACAGGGCTCTAACACAGTTTCCCTGCACAGTGTTGACAAGGGACTAACTATGTTGAAAACTGTGGTGTGGACAAGGGGGAATGGTTTTGAGAACTATTTTACAATCCTATTAGGCCATGCCTACTGTGGGCGGGAAAAGAGTATTAATAGCTTGCCATTGAATACAGTAGTACAAACAGGGCCTAACTGCAGGGGTGGACTAATGCTAAACAGCAGCCTAGATCTACCAATACGGAATGGAGTGTTCTGGCAGCTTAGTTCCCCCAGACTCTGGATGGGCTCTTGGTCTTCCTCCACCCCTGTGGGGTAGTCCAGCCCACACCAGCAGACAGTCGGGCTCTGTGCTGCTGTACTGCCTTTGTGATTTGTGGCCTCTCTAACCAACATCATACCATTTAAACTTCATCACTTTGACAATCTCGCCCTCTTCTTTCACAGAGCTTCCTGATGGTTGTGTGGTATACATATGCAGGGTTTCCAGTTTTAATGTACAAAAAACCCTCTAGCTGTGAAGTTATTTACTACTTAGAATAAATGAAGTCTCATAGGACACTTCAGGATGGTGGGTACCTAGTGTGTTATGGGATTGCTGAAATGCAATAAATTCTTATGGTTAACAATTTAGTGGGTTGTTTAAAAGTTACTAACTCAGATTGTCTTTGTAAAACAAACATCATCTTCCCACCACTTAATTGTTCTGCAGGGTAAAATTCATGATGATAAAGTTTTCTGCTTGAGCACTGTATTCAGTACTTAAACATAGCTAGACATTGTTTCATGCCAGCAGTACAATTTTATTTAATATTTTTCCAGACAAATCTTCAAACAGTTTTTAACAAACAGAGTGTTGAAAGACCCAAAACAAAGGCGCTTTTTCAAATCCAACGATCTTTACGAACTTTTCACTCTGACCAGCCCAGATGGGTCTCAAGGGACAGAAACTAGTGCTATTTTTGCAGGTACATGAAATCATTTTACCTAAACTGTGAAATCTAGGTTTTGTACAAGAGTATGCAAAATGTTTATTATTATTTAACTTCATACCTATATCAGGTACTGGTTCAGATGTTCAAGCCCCGAAACGCCAATTAAAACGGAAACTTAAAAAGCCAGCTGATGGTGCTTCCAAAGGTGAACTGCATCTTAAGGAGCTCAACTCGCCTAAATATGACAAGCCATCACATTCTTCCTCGACAGGCCATTTAATGAATTCTTCTTCTAAAACAATAGAGCCAGTTAGAGAAACCAAAGGAAACTTGGAAACTTTCAACCAAAACGGTTCTGCGAAAGATGGTACACAAGCTACAAATAACATAGCTTCACTGATTAAAGATGAGGAGAAAAGTTTGAAAACAGCTGAGGGGTCTGTATTCCAAGCACTGCCAAGGAATGCATGGACTTCAGAGAATGTGGAATGTTCAAACTCTGCATTATTTGATGAAATGCCTGGGGCATCTACTGTAAGTATTGAGAGCGGACATGGTCTCGAATGTGAGACAGAGAGCTCCCAGGGGAAACAGAATGGTAACTTTGAAGATGAACAACTAGGTAATAATCCTCACAAACGCACCTCAAAAACTAAACACAGTATGGATATGCTGACACTTGAGGGCCACAAGAGTAACCCTAAAAAGCCAAAACATCGCAAAGGTGCCAGATTTGAAGGGGAGCGCATCCCATATTTGGTGAAACAAAAGCAATACAGAAAGGACAACCAAGAGGAGGAGGAAGAACAAAAGAAGAATGATGATTATGTCTTAGAGAGACTTTTCAAAAAATCAGGTAACCTTTTTATTGATTTGCGCAACAATGCCAGGCTAGGAAAAAGTATAGAAAAATCTACACAAGTGGGTTTCCATTATTGTAATTGCTAGCAGCTACAATACGATAGATGACTTTTAAACATTTTCTTTAATGTAAATGATTTGTTGAAAATATTTGTGATTTAATCTTCATATAGTGAAAACAACCACAGGTCTCTTTGGCCAAAGGTAATAAGTGGGACAGCAGTATGGTGGGGAACACTGGTGCCGAGGGAGGTAACTGAGTTTCACTTAGCTAGGAGTTTCACTGAAGATAAAGTTGCCCAAATGGATTTAGCCTACATCTAGCAATACAATGGAACCTTACTAATTTGCACTAACAACTGGGAGATCCAGTATGAATGAATGAATTTTGACGCCCTAACAGCAATAGAAGTGGTTTATTATATTGCAAGTTAGTTCGGTTCACTTGATGTAATAGGAATCTCTGTTATAAATGGATGTATTGAAATGTTGACTGTTTCCACTGTCAGTGTAAAAATGAATTAAGGGTTTTTTAAAAGTTCACTGCTTAATTCTTACACATTCTTTTCTCCTCCTCCCCGTTGTACGTACTCTGCTAGGAGTACACAGTGTGATGAAGCATGATGCTATTATGGAGGCTTCCAATCCAGATTATGTGTTAGTGGAAGCAGAGGCAACCCGAGTGGCCCAGGATGCCTTGAGAGCCTTAAAGATCTCCCGACAGCGATGTTTAGGAGCAGCTTCTGGTGTGCCAACCTGGACAGGCAACAGTGGTCTGACTGGGGCACCATATGGACTAAAGTAAGATGAGTACCCACATGGCTTCTCCAGAGAGGGAGCCTTTAACATAGTCTGCTTTTTATGCTGGTTATTTGCTCTGGATTTACTTCAAAAACTATAAATGAGATACAGGGCTGGTTACAGGAATTGTATTGAAATATTTGATCTTGGATAAAATTTTTGAAAGCACTTAAGTCCCATTTTCCCGTATTCGCTTACTTAGGTGCCTAAGACACTTTTGAAAATGGGAGTTAAACCCCTAAGTCAGTTAGGCACTTTTGAAAATGTTACCCCTCACCACATATAGTTGAGAAGAGATGAAGATATAATTAGAATGAATGAAGGGCCCATATTAACGAAAGTACCATTTTGGGGTTGTGATTGTTCAAACTAAGCCAGCTTCAAGCTGGATCAGTACCTGGATGGGAAACCTGCAAGGTGCTACAGATGCTGTGCTGTCTGAGTTACTGGATGAGATCCCTAGGTGTGCCTTGGCTAGCTCTGCACACCTCGGAAGGGGAACATATGTGTACCTTTCCTAGGTACAGTTGGGGCAAATTCAGCAACCAGCACAAGTCAGAGCAGCCTTCTAGGGGCAATTCTGCCATTCAGGGATTCCAGGGGGGAGGGCAGTGCTCTCTGGCCATGCCCCCCTTCCAGAATACTTATTGCACTGCAGTGGGTGGGGAGGTGTCAGGTACAAGTAACCTATTGGCTGACTTTGTAACTCAGTTTCCTGTGCCCTTTGCACCACTAGAATGGCATAGAGGGGATGGAGTGGGTGCCAGGATCTGCCCCACCATCTTTCAATGGGACATAAAACCAAGGTCTTGAGCTCTCATAGCCTGAAGGATCCTGTGTCACATTCCATGTTAGCCTGGGTGTCAGATCCTAGTGTGAATGTCAGATTATATGGTGCTATCTAAAAGTCCCCTTGCAGTTTCAATTGAATACAGTAAGTCTTCACTTCCAGTCTCAACCTCATGTGTGGTGTTGCCATGTTAAACTGCTGCTACATTTTACACTAGAGGTGGGTGAAGTTGTAGACTACTTTGGAATGAAAGGCGTATATAAATGTAAATTGTCTTGTGTACTAGGATACAGCTTCCTACTGCTCTTGGGCCTCTGATAGTGACAATTGCATTCTGTATATGAGAACCCCTCGGTCTGTAAATTCTTAGAAATTCTTATCATTGATCACTCCAATACTTGGAGAGGGTTACAACAGTAATTCAATCAAAGTATCCTACAAAGTGTCACAATGCATATTTAGGAGAGATATTGTAATAAATTACTCCTCTTGCATGTTTTTTAGGAGTAGGTTTGGTCAGAAAAGGAACCCTACTTTGCTTGTCCCAAATTCCTCCACTACATCTCCTGGAAAGAGATGCAAGGTAAAGCACAAGAACTGGTACTACTTTATTTTTTCCATGAGTATTAGCTGATTTAGTTGAAACATTCTAGCTTGACTTTTGCTATTTAGGATATATGTCTCATAAATAATTACCATACTCTCTATGTAGAATTCCAAAAGTGTTAGGCCTTGAATTACATACAGATTTGATCTTACATTTTGAAAAAGAATCATCAAATTCAATTTAATCAGTTGCACCAGTCTTTCATTTCATCTTGCTGTGCTCACTCTGGTTCAAGAGTAGAGGTTTTTATTTTTAGCTTCCCAACAACTGAAATACATATTCAAGTTGTGAAGTTAGCACACATTGACTCTGACATGTTTTAATTCACATAATTAACTCCTGCAGTTAGTTGAGGTTGGTTTGTTTTGTTTTTGTGTAAGCCTGAATGGCAGGCAAATTCACTAAGAATAGGTTCCATGGATCTCAGACTCCCAACTTTTCCTATAGTGTCTGTGTTTATTTGCAGGATGCTGATATAATAAGGAAAGAGAAGGTAAAGAAAAATGTTTCCAGTGTACATTTTGACGGGAAACTCGAAGCAGGAGAATCATCATCCAATGCACTAGATTCATCATCTTTGTTAGCTAAGATGAGGGCTAGAAACCACCTTATTTTACCGCAGAGGATGGAGAATGACGGTGATGAGAATCTTCAGGCTTCTGCTCCACTCCCAACTTCAACGGAACATGACGAATTGCTAGTGGATGTACGAAACTTTATAGCATTCCAGGCTCATGTGGACGGAGAGGCTAGTACTCAGGAGATACTGCAGGAGTTTGAATCCAAGCTGTCAGCAGCACAGTCTTGTGTGTTCAGAGAACTTCTGAGAAATCTTTGTACTTTCCATAGAAGCCCAAATGGTGAAGGTGTCTGGAAACTAAAGGCAGAATTCCGTTGACCCTTTGATTAGGAGTGCATCTGTGTGTGCTTGGCCAAAACTCTGCTCCATAAGACTTTCTATTCATCTTTTGAACTGGAGGGTTCTGTTTCATTTTGTGTAAATATTTTAATCACTGACTTGTACTGTACCTGGTGCAGCACTTAAGTATGTTTCACTGAAGACATAACTGACCAACTTCCTATTTACTCTGTTTATATATTAAAAGTGGCATCTACCTCACAATTGAAACAATACAAAATAGCAGCACCTTTTCTTTTTAAAAAATCTTAATGTAGATGGGCTGTGGAACAGGTGTATTAACGTTTTATTGCAATAAGAGCCATGGATTTTGTCATGTTTTCAGATTTTCATCCAATTTCTGTGAAGTTCAGTTTTTGTCTAATTTTCTGTATGTTACTTGACTGGTCATGATGGGGTGCACATTACACCAATGAACAGAAGCATTAATAATGAACAGTTTAGGTGGGTATAAAAAGGTAACTTGTACCAACACAGTATCAAGAATCATTGTGAGAGACTTTCATCAGTGTTGAAAATTTGTTTGTAGAGTTGCTGCTTTCCTTTTTGCCAGTAATTGATATATGTCACTAAATACTTGGACTAAATTCTACTGCCATGACGGTTTAATTGCAAAAATAAAGAGCCAGGCAGAGCATCTGGATGTCAGCAGATTGGTAACGGGTTATAGAATACTTTTACCTTTAAATCACCAATTCAAATCCTGCCAAGTCCCAAAGCACTTGCCTGGTGTAATACTTACTACCATGAAGAGTCCCATTGAAACCAAGGTGATAGTAAGAAGTAAGTCTAGTAGTGGGTGATTGGTAGTTGCCATCTATGGCCTCTGTAACATCACAAACAATCTCACCAAAATTGGTGCTAATTGTGACCTGTTTTCAGTCTTGACCAAGAACTGAACTAGCCATGGAGAATGAACTGCCCTCACACTGCTGGCATGGCCCTTTCGGGTCAGAGCTGAGGCACATTTGTGGTGTATGGGGAAGATTTCCTTGTTGTACCTGTTCTGTGGATTAAAAAAAAAAACTTCAATCTCCATAGCTTCCAAACCAGCACTAAATGAACATGAATTTCCTTTAGAGGACGGAAAGAACTGGATTCACTGTAGTCAACCTGACTTTTATTTCCACCACTGCCACCTTGAGTCTCTCTGCAAGATGCCAGTATGCTACAGAGACAGATTTTAATGGAAAAGTGATACAGCTCAATGCCAAAATGAGAAAATTGCATTTCTTTGCAGCACAGCTAAAACATTATTGTATAATTTAAACTAGGAATAACCAAATGTAGTCAGTGGCTCCCCTTATAGGGAGAAAGGCAAAGATGATCAGCTGCAGGGTTTTATTTGAGTTCATTAATAATAAGCAATTTCTATGAACTAACGATTAAGCTGCAAGTACAAGCAAAACTTAAAGGTGAACGGTGAAGCAAGAATAAAGTGTTTTACTTTCCTGCTCCAGTGTGATTTAGAAAGACGGCTCTTGAGTTTATTCCAAACAGGCTTTCCTCTGCTTGTGTATTAGCCTAGAAATACTGGGTTCTTGCTTCCCTCTCTTTGTTGAAAGATCCTTAGTGGAACTCCATTACCTGAATAGTGATGCCACACTTGAGTTACAGCACAAAGGAATGAGAGAGGCTGCTGAGTCCGACTGGCCAAGAACTGGCATCCCCTCCACACTCAGTTTGGAGGAGGGATTGCCGCAGTTCAGGTTGCAGGCTATTATGACAGTCTCTAAACTTGCCAAGGACTTCCAGTGAAGAGAGGGAACCAAAGAGCTGATATTTCTAATGCAAAAATGTGTAGAAAATGTTGAGTCTGACTTCATGCACCATGAAAGAACGGTAAAAGGGCAAAAACAAACATTTTTTTCCAGTTCCCTTTCAAGTTGTTTGTACACTGATTTTGATTGAAACTGCAGGAATTAAGTGTTTATCTCTGGTGCTTAACAAAGAGTTTGAGTGCCCTGTATCACATACTGCTTTCATTCTTAAAGGCATATTTCCTATATTAGAGGGAGGAAAGTTTATAGCTCTCTCCTCTGATGTGTTTATGATGTAAAAGGAGCTGTACATGCTTTTATAATTCCTCAACTTTTATGAATTTAATAAAATGTCAGTAGTAAAAACAAACTTTTTCTAAGAGACTTCCAGTTTTTTGGGGTTAAGTTATATAAGAGGCTTTCTGGTTGGGTAAAGGTGGGAAGACCCCACTGGAAACTCCAGCAGAAATCATTGTGATCGTCTATTGAGAGGTCCATCAGACCCTAGAATATCTTTGAGGATGTGAGTATGACTGTAGTCTTAGTTGTTGCATGGGTTTTTGCAGAGTTTCTATATGCATGGGAAAGTCTAACTTTACTTACTGTGTTAATAAAACTTGTAGTACAGATAAGACTTTGTACTTACGATTGTGTATGTAGTCACTGTCCTTGGACTTTGTGTGTTTGAGAGAACCACCAAAAATGATTTTCACTCAGTTGAACTTGAAACTCTAGCAACAGGAGCTGAATACATGGTAGTTTAATACAAAGTTATTAAAATCAATTTAAATTAAAAAAGGCTTCAAGCGCCACTCTGGTTTGGAGCTGGAGGGGCGGATGTGTCAAACCTGAATGGTGCTGTGACCTTGCACACTGGGTTGCAACACCCAGAATGGGCAGTCAGACCCAGCCCAGTGGGACAGGAGCTGCTGCTGCAGTGTGACCTTTTGATGACTGTTTTTTTCCCCCTCTGCACCTCTTCTGTGAAGTTGTCTAAAAATTGGCATGACAAAATGATAGCCTTACTCATAGGTAAGGCTGTGAGTCTTTCATGGATTCCATGACTTTCTGGGACCTCCGTGACTTCTACAGCTGCAGTGGCTGACCCCAGGGCCACCTGGGCAGCTGTGGCGGCCCTGAGCAACTAGTCCTGGTCGCTACCCCAGAGCAGCAGCGGTGCCCTGGGCCATCCCCACCCAGAGGAGCAGAGGCAGCAGTGGGGCCCTTGCCCAGAGCAGCGGGGGCAGGGCCCTGGGCTACCCCCTACCCGCAGCAGCGGCGGCGGTGGGGCCACAGGCCACTCCCCCCGCCCCAGGAGCAGCAGCGACCGCCGGAGCACCCCCCTTTGAGCAGCAGCGTCCGCTGGAGCACTTCCCCCAGCACCTAAGATTTAGTTAGGTGCATTTTTCGTAAAACTCACGAACAGGTCACGGACAATAAAAAGTCATGGACAGAGACCTGTCCGTGACTTTTACTAAAAATACCCGTGACTAAATCGTAGCCTTACTCATAGATCACCTCCATTTGTCTGCTATAATCCCAAGACTACTTGGTTGTGACTGGTTTTAACCAGTCTTATTAGTGGAATTCCTTGCATAAGGGGGGAAGATTTTTCAAAAGCATCTAACAAGACTTGTGCTCCTCAATCCCTTTGGCACTTCTGAAAAATCTTCCGCTAAATCATTACGGCTACAAAGCTTGCTATGCAGTGGGCCAGATCCTCAGCTGGTGCAAATCAGCACTGTTCCATTGAAGTTAATGGAGCTATGCCAGTTTACATTACCTGAGGATATGGCCCATGGGGTCCACCGTATCAGTTACTGGCATTCGCTCTTCCCAGAATATGCAATATAATCCCTTTAAGCAGGTGCATACTAAAATCCTAGACAAGTCCAACAATTTCTCCGATTTCCATGGGTATGTTTTGGATGTGAGACTGTAATTGTCCATTTCCCAACACAATAAATAATTAAGCAGTTGTGTTACTGACAGCTCTGGCTCATTAAACATTTGGGAAATGTCTTTTATGCCTGCTTCCGGTCGGGTTTTCTCTTGCCGATTAAAATGCTTTTTACACAGGATGACCTTGTTGGGGCTTTTTGGTCAGCTGGACTCCATATACTGTATAGCTTCTGTGATGTACTTTCAGAAACCTTGAGGAGAGGCGATATTGACCACTGTCCTCATTCTACTGCCCAATTCATAACACGTTGGTTTTTGGCTACTTCTGATACCCAGTGTCTGATAATCGCAGTATATAGATAACTGAGTCAGAAACTGCTCTTAGATACACTGGTACTCTGTGCAATGTTCTCTGTGTGTATATATATCTTCCTACTGTATTTTCCACTGCATGCATCCAATGAAGTGGGTTTTAGCCCACGAAAGCTTATGCCCAAATAAATTTGTTAGTCTCTAAGGTGCCACAAGTACTCCTTGTTCTTTTTTATGGAGAGAGATTTTCTGGCTTTTTCTTGAGACTGAGCATAAAGGAAACCCATTCCTTAAAGAGAGATGCTATCAAATGTCTGTGAGGAAATACCACAGAGGAATCCCTGTTGGTAGCACCATGTTGTGAACATTCTCCAACAGATGGAAAATGCAGAGCCTGAAAGCTGCAAGAAACAAAGGCAAGATATGGTGCCGTAAGAAGAATATTGTGTATTTCTCAGTTGGATTCTCAGGAGAAATCTGCTGCCTCTTAAGGAAGCTTTCAGAGAGAAAAACATCTTGGCAACCATCGCATATCCAGCAAAGCTGCATCTTCTGGGGGAAAGTTATGAAAAGGATTGACAGATTGTCAAAATGAAATTGTTAAAACGGGATGGGCTTAAAAACAAGGGCATAGAAAACACGGAGTAAATGGGGAACGCAGACAAAGCTCTTCCAAAGAAAGGGCAGGGCCCGTTTTAGGTCGATTCCCCCGAATTGGGCCCCGCGCCCTAAAGAAGAGCGCCTAACTTTTTTTAATTTTTACTCACCCAGCGGCGGCTTGGGTCTTTGGCAGCATTTCGGCAGCGGGTCCTTCAGTGCGGCGGAAGACCCGGAGCAAGTGAAGGACCCGCTGCCGGGTATTCGAATCGGGCCCCGCACTTCCTAAAGCCGGCCCTGAGAAAGGGTAATACCTTGCTCTAATAGAGGAGACTGGCATTAGTGTTAAGGGGAAGAACTGGGTATATGAATAAATAGCACCAAAAGGGGATAATGTGTTAAGTCTTGCAGTCCCCTTGTGTACAGGGCTGATTCCTTGTGGGATCTATTTAATGTTCCAGCTTGGACTGTGGATCTGTCACATCCTCAAAGTGAGGAAGACTTAGGCTGGGAGGCTTCCCAGGAACAGCCAGCTGCTGCAGGCAGTAGTGTTAGTGATTCAGTAGGAAGCAGTTTTTCTTCTGTCAGTAGTGAGCCAATTCCCCCGCATGGTGTTAGGGGACGCCTGGGCTGCTGGCTGTGCTGTCAGATACGATGTAAAAGGAGCTACCATTAAAGATCCCATGTCAGTTTTATCCCTAGACTAGGAGTTGACCCCAAGTTCCAGCTCAAGTAATTATGTTCTGCCTTCCTAAATTTCCCTGAAGTTTCAATTGGATACATTGTTGTTCACTGCCTACCTTACACTGTCACTGTGAGCTGTTAAAAAGCCACAGCAGTCTACTCCAGAGTTGGTGGGTTTCTTTGATGAATAAATTTCTATCCATTGGCGTAGGGGACAGAGCACTGGACTTGGAAGACCTGAGATCTACTCCTGGCTCCACCACTGGCCTGCAGGATGACCTTGGACAAGTCATTTCATCCCCCTCGTGCCTCAGTTTCCCCATCTGTACAATGGGGATAATAATGCTGACCTCCTTTGTAAAGCACTTGGAGACCTGTGAATCCATTACAGGGGTGTTTAAAGACTTAATTGATGCTTCTAAAGTTCTTTTAAAAACCCTAGTGAAGCACCAGGATGTGCTGGCAAACCTAGAGCTGGGAGCAAATCTCCATGGGGAAGGGTAGCAGATGTGGTAAAAACACTCATTTAGGGCCCCTTATTCTCTTATCCATTTCCATTCAAACTAAATACTGAATTTACTTTTCTTAACTCACCAGTTCTCTCCACCTACTACCCACTAAGGGGTTGCCGTTCTAGGGATTGGGGTGATGTCAACACTTCTGCCTCATTCTAAATTGCCGATGTGGTGTGAGTTTTGCTCTTTCAGCCATGCCTTTATAGATTTGTGCGTCTGGAGGACTCTGAGCAAAGTGCTTTTATTAAGCAGAGAGGAGGAGATTAGTCTAACCTCCTCCCTGCTGGGGGAGCTGTTGGGCTGAAGAGAGCCTGACAGGCCAGTGCCTGTCTCCCTCTGGGGTGAAGTGTCAAGCTATGGTTGGAAGAGCTGATGGTGTTTGTACTGTGCCCTGGCTGCACCAGCCACAAGGGAAGCTGCCCCTTATCCCCCACAGAAGAAGTCAAGTGAACTGCTCAAGCAGACAATTGCTCTCCTTGGTGAGAGGAGAATGCATCATGGGCTAGCGAAGAGTCAGGGCTATGCAGCAGAGACAGAGGGGCGAATGGGAATGGCTGCTGGGAGGCCCAGAGAGAGGAAAGCAAGTTGCACCCTTCTTTGTTCCTAGACAACACACTATGCAAAAATGAAATTAAGGTTGAAAATATGTAACTAACTTAAGGGTAAAAATCATTACAGAAATGTTGTAATTACCAGAACCAAGCACTACAAACTCAGAACTTAGAGTCAACATTATCCTTACAGGAAATCCAAACGTGCTGTGGGATGAAAATGCACAGCTAAGGCATTCAAACAACCTTAACTCTGCCCTGTCTGAACTTCTTGGCTACCACCTCTAATAGTGGTGTGACAGCGCCATCATAGCCAACACCAGAGATTGAACCAGTAATCCTCATGAGTTACTATGGGTTGAGCTAAATAGCCAGGTTCTATAGTTGGGGCTATAACAAACTCATCCTCTGTAGATCGGGCACTGAGCGGGCCATATAACACACATTGACCAGTGGGTTACACTTACAATGAATATGAAATTCCCAGTGTAATGGGGGGAAGTTACAGGGTCTGTATCTCACATTCATTGTGGGTTTCCCCAGAAGTCAGGACTCTTGGCCATGACAGGAAATGTCTAGCAGCACCTGGCCCAGGACCTTGTGGAAACTGGAACAATGGTAACCTTTCCACAGCACCTTGGAAATGCTGAGCTGCCACGACGCCCATGGAAATCAATGGCAACTACCGGTGCTCCAGCAAAATTGATCCTAATGCTAACTGAAGTCAAAAAGGCCTTCTCAAAAACTTAGCTGTTGCCAGCTTGCTAAATAAAAAAAATAAATCTACAAGGAAATACACATCAAGCTTTTCTCAGACCACTGGAGAAGGCATCTTGTTTCAAATAGGCTTCACAATGTACAATCCCCAAGAGCTCTGGGAAATTGCATGGCGTTATAGAACATTAACTAATCTAATATTAACCACTCCGTGCAGCTCCTGAGCTGCTATAAACCATTGACACCAATGGAGCGACCCCAGTTTTCACCAACTGAGGGTCTGTCCCTCAGCATAGACAAGAACTGTTGTGTTTCTAATCTAGCAGGTTGTGGTTAACAAGTGGGCCCACAAGCGGATGGCAGAACACTGAGCACGGCAGACCTTGTCTACATTGACGGCTGCGTTGTGTTTAACACTGTTGGTGTTACTTGTATTCTAACACGATGTAATCTCCCAGGGTAGACAAGTCCCAAGAGAGCAGTGCATCCCTGGATGGAGAGGTTGGCAGAGTTT